CATGTAATATTATTTGTAATTATCAATGTGAATTTACGCTTAAATCATTAACCTTAAATTTACATAATTTAAAGCATAAACATTACGCTTAAATCATTGATAATAACCATCAATTATATTCGATTGTCGTATTAAATCATATTAGGTTGTCCCAAATGATTTCTTTTTTATTAAATCATCACCTATTTTATTAAACATCACAATATTTTTTATGTCGAGTAATATACAGTATAGAAAAAGGTAATATAGAGTAGTGAATTGATATTATTCAATAAAATAATATAAAATTTTTTATTTTATATTACGCATTCGATGCTATGCAAATTATCACCAAGAAATTTTCGGGACGACCTAATATTTAACATAACCAATATTATCCCTCCCTCCTCTTCTGTTTAGTAATAACAATATTAAATTGAGAAAACGCATTATTTGATTCACCGAGTATATCGTATTATACATATATTGTGCGTATGTATGTATATATATATAATAATCATGATGAAATATCGTAAAAGAGAGGCTCGTCCCCACGTGGAACCGTTCGACGCCAACTAGAATGACTATAACACAGCTCTCGCTTTAATGCCACCTTTCTTCTCTCCTTTTCTCTCGTGTGTATTTTTTTCTTTCTTTCTTTCTTTCTCTCTTTTCCTTTTGTAGTTAGGATATAATAATATATAATAATATAATATATATCATATAATAAATTTATATATTAATATCTTTACATATAAAAATTCAGTGTCACATTGTTGGTTTGCGATGAACTCCTAAAATATTTAACCGATCTTAATGAAATTTTTTTTATTTTATGTGATTTTTTTCAGATTAGTACATAGGATAGTTTTTATGACAATTATTTTTATTTTTTATTGCTAATTTAAGGATTTGTTATTTAAAGGTTATCTAGGTCTTTAGGTACTGTAAGTTTTCAATAGATGACGCTGTATTAAAATTCAATTATTTCGATATATTCACGTCATACGTTTTTTTTTCAGATTTATATATGAAATAACTTTAACCTTGCTTTTTATATTTTTTCGAGTATTATTATTTTATGTATTCCATTCTCATTGTGGTATTATTTTAGGTGTTGTGTTATAACTTACTAAATAGTTTAGAATTATATTAAATCAACGTTTTATAACAAAGGCCGGAGCATTCTAGTATTATTACATGTATATAATATATTTATTTTTATTATTATTTACTATTTAGTAAAATAATATTAAATATATTAATAAATTATATAATTTAAAAGAGAGGCTCATCCCCACGTGGAACCGTTCATCGCCAACTAAAATGACTATAACACAGCTCTCGCTTTAATACCACCTTTCTTCTCTCCTTTTCTCTCGTGTTTTTTTTTCTTTCTTTCTTTTCCTCTTGTAGTTAGGAACACTCACTCTCGCGGCAATGAAACCGGCCTCGCTCGAGCTTAGCAAGCGCATTTTTCCGCATTTGCCATTAGAATCGTCGGTTGGTTGGTCGGTCGTCGACACCGAATAAGAAACACTGGAAGAGATTCTAAATACGACCACCACCAACTATAATTTTTTAATCACCCTTTTTCTCTCTTATTTGTTAAATGATGCGCACCCCGAAAGGGTCTAAATATATTTACAACATATGTATGTATATATATATATATATATATATATATATTCTACGTAGACGTGTAGAGTATTTTCACGATATATTGCACCGGAATATTTTGGTCCAACTTTGGAGACAGACATCACGGAGACGAGAGGTCAATGTCCCTTTACAAATGAGCACGACAGTATAGTGTTGTTTTTCTTCTTTTTTCTTCTGTTTTTTTACTTTTTCTTTTTCTTTTATTTTTTTCTTTTTTACTCTTAACCCCATCTGCAACGTCGTATAATTTTAAAGTGACGTATATATAACGTTTCACTGGAATCCTTTGTATGAACAACCCCCTCTCACCAATCCCTTCATTGTTAATTTTAAATAATTTATATTTAACCTTTATCAGTTGTCAGGTTTTTATATTAATGATTCTCACTAAATGTAAGTTGTAAGTGGTTTCGGTTAATAACAAAACAAAATTGTTCAATATTATAAGAATAATTTATTATTTATTAGAAATAATTTTTTATCGAAGAAATACTTCAAATATATGCAATTATGAATTATTTAATTATTTATAACATATTTTTATTTGTAAGTCACTTCCCACGAGACTTACACGATAAGGGTTAAATATAAGTGTAAATTATATTTGACTTTCTTTATATTATTTCTTTCCTCTTTTCTTTTTTTTTTTTCTTTGCATAAAACCAAAGAATAAATATTATACTCCTTTTCAAAATAAACATATTTTTACTTGCGTAATAATAAATCATTCTTTCGGAGATTCTTCAAGGTTGATATCTCTTGGAAGTAAAATAACACTTTGCATACTCGCGAACTCTGAACACCCGTGATACGTCATTGCCACTGATACCTTCAAGGACACGTCACGTCTTGCCCGTCGAAACGTGACTTTCCTCTTGATGAGATACCCGCACTTTTACTCAAACAGTCTCTCTCTCTCTCTCTCTCTCTCTCTCTCTCTCCTTTCTTTCTTACCTTTTCCTTACCTTTTGTCACCGTTATATGTGGGTCGAAGTAAAATGCAAAGAACCATAATAGTAAAGTCAAATGTAACGACATGCATATTATTTCTTTGACTTATATACATCAAAGAGAATAATCCTTTCCATTGCATTCTTCAATCTAACAACAATTACGAACGTGATAACATATGCACGTATGCGTATTAAATCGTATAAAGGTACGATGAATCATCCCTTTACAAATTTCACCTTTTAATGGTCTCCTTTCTGTTGTTATTTTTTCTTTTTATAAATTCCAATCCTACCTCTATAAATCGTTCACCGGAAGTGATCTTGAAAATAGGAAGCTTCCAGAAGTGATCTTGGAAATGGGAATTTTATTCAAAGTTTTAAACGTTATTATATCAAGCTGCGTAACTTTGGACCACTATGCTGTCATTAAAATCAATAAATCGTAGAAAAGGAGGACATATAGTCTGTCTATCCGGTTAAATCGTTATAGCGTGACACGTGTAATAAGAGAGTACCACGATCAACTTTAACGGACCTTCCTTCCTTACTTACCCCCCTCCCCATTTACCCCTTTTCCCCCTTTCCTTCTATCCAGTCTTCGTCGCGAGTTCTCTCACGCGTACACGAGAGAAGAACAACACAACTCTCATCCGTCGGCGGGCGCGTTCTTTCCACCTTTCTGGTGCAAAAAACTCACGCATCTTTACCGGGTACATACACATAGGTGTGTAACATACTTACATAAGTCGTCGTCGTGGTGCGTGCTTTTAAAAAAGGATTCATCGAACAAGAGCGCCTTCCCACGATGCCATTGCTACTATTATCCTTTCTCGAGGTCAATGAACTTATCTGATATTGGACAACGTTTTCGGAAAAAAAAAAACAAAAGAAAACATTCGTATACGATCATATTTGCAAAACAAACTTTTTACATTTTAACTCGGGTTTTACATTGATACCAAATTTTCCTGATTTCGGTATACCGTTTTATACGAGTACTAACTAATAGAATTGAAAAATTGTTTTTATTTGTTTTTTTTCGGGTTTTGATACCAAATTTCCCTGATTTCGGTACACCGTTTTATACGAGTACTAACTAATAGAATTGAAAAATTGTTTTTCTTTTTTTCTTTTTTTTTTTCTTTAATGAAACCAATTAACTAACGATAAATGTATTCTTTCTATTCCTTTTAAAAAGAATTCTTGCAAATGATATACGAGATAGGAGAAAATATGTAATTATAGTTGAACTTGTGTATACGCCGTTTACATTCGAATTATAGGTTATGTTTTCGTTCGGCAAACGTTTCGGCAAAAATCGTGAGAAAGGTTTCAATGTCACGATTGTATATACCTCTCGATAGGGGGCCCCCTCCCCCTTTCGAATTAGAGTCAGCAAGATAGTCATTATCAGCAACCGATGCTTAAAATCATCGCACGTTTCTCGTAATTTATGGAGAACATAAGATGATTATGTTTGGTGAGATATAGTACCTTCTTATATTTTCTTAAGGTCTATCCTAACATAGTATAGAAGATATTAGTTTGGATCGTATACACATACCTATCGCAGGGTCTGTCTTGTTCTCTATCCTGATCATAAATTTGTTTGACGCATCTAAACTGTCGACAAGGGGCCCTTTACGAACACTTAACACATTTAAAAACTAAAAACATGTTAAAATAGGGACAAATATTTTCAAGATTTCAATACGATAGAAAATATATTTAGTTCCGTTAGATATATTTAAAATATATTTTTAAATAATGAAGAATATAATTTTTAAATTCTAATTTAATTGTAGATAGTCATATGTGTTACCAACTACCACAAAAGATGTAATCCGTTACACGATACCTACAAGATACGACGAGAAAGTTCCAAGGAAAAGTATTCCATCGATACTAGCATAAGCTACTACTTTCAAGATTTAGTTTCATACACTCTAGTAAATGAGAGATATATATGCGCCTAATCATATTACATCTCCAAACCCACTCATAGATATTCGAAAGGAACACCCTGTGTCGTGTTGAAAAAAAAAAAGAAAAAAAAAGACGTATTCTCGATTTAAGAATGCGTCGATCTTTCGTATAAATCAAATTTTGTATTCTCTCTTCAAGTCGTTTAAAACTAAACAAAAATTTTCGATTTTACAGAATCGAAATAATTAGCATAAATGTGTATTGGATTGAACAAATAAATATTATAGAAATTTTATAACCAATATTTTTATTATTTATTTCAAATATTTAATTATTACCAAAAGTTCTCAAATAATATTAAAAACGGTTACTTATTGATCAATCAAACAACGAACATAATATATCGATTTAATTGAGTCCTTTATTTTGTTTTTCTTTTATCATTTTTTACTTTTTTTTCCTTTTTTTTTTCTTTTACAGGAGCAACAAGTACCTGCAAAAGTCGTCTATCAGCCGTGTCTGCGCGGTCGGAGGCTTTTTCATTAGCATTCCAGTCTTCTTAACCGGTGAGAACGTCTTTTCTTTATTTTCTCTCGTGAATATCTTCTATCGTTATCGCTAATACGAGCATTCCACCGTGCATTATTATATCACACATTAATTGCCATGCTGACGTAGCAATGAAACGAAAGAAGGGGAAAGGGGAAGGGGTAGAGGGTAGAGAAGTGGGGGGCAGATAGAAGTAAAGGATTTTAATATTTTACAATCGTCCTTTATTTCCTTACAGGCATGATCCTATACACGTTTATACAGTTTCATTCTACGCCAGCTATAGTGACGTCTGTTTTTATTGGTCTCGGCATTGTATTCTGTGGATGCGCCATGGTCCATAACGTCTTCGTGTGGCAAAGGGTAAGCATCATCATCATCATTTCATTTTTTATCTTTTTTTTTATTATTTTTCTTATAGGTAACCAAAAATTAAAAAAAAAAAAGAAAAATATTTCTCAATGATTTCAATTGAATTTGGTTGTTTTTTTTTTTTTTTTAAATACCGTTAAATTTTTTGCAACATAACAATCGTTACGAATACATTTCTTTTTTTTTAATACACCCTGTATATTCGCACTTGCACGCTAGGTGCTATTTAAAAAAATAAAGGTAGTCTTAAAAAACATTTTAAAAAAAAATTTTTTTAACTTTTTTTTTATTGCAATATATAGACAATCAAAAACAGATCGACTTTTTTTAACATTTAACGGACGGGTCGAATCTGCTCTGTCTTTCCTAGTTTCCGGGCATTTATCAGAAGAATTAAAAAACATGAATGTATGGATTTAAAGCGTTGTAGTTTTATTAAATCAATTATATTTCTTATAATATTTTATAACGGTATTTATACCTGTAACTGATGGTATCATGAAAAAATAACAATGTGCATAAAAGAAAACCCTAATGCAACATACTAAAAATTCATGGAAAAACGTAGATCTACGTGACCCGTTCTAGGAAGTCACAACGGAAAAACGTAAATCTACGGGGCACGTCCGTTAAGTGTTAAAGTATTTTTTGTCAGTTTATTGCAAGTACTTAAAAAATCATGAAAAGAGTTATATGGGACACCCTGTATATACAAATGTATATATATAGAAATCCTGATTTCTATCCTACGCAACTGATTAGCATAACCAGCATCGACTTGATATTATTGTAAAACGCTTCGCGAATTGTTCCTTTACCGTTGACATCATCGAATCAAGTATATTATACTATTATTCTGTTTGACTTTATGTAATATGCCGAACGTTGAACTTGAATATTGAGAGAAGAAAATTTTACGAATGCGTAACTTGTAACTTTGTTTTTTTTCTTTTCCTTTTTTTGTTGTTAAAGATTTCTGTAACAATATCGTAAACTAAATCCGATCGTATAACAACAGCTTGTTACACGTACAAATATGTAACAACATATATATATATATAAATACATATGTAAAGTATAAGCCAGTAAAAAAATAGTTCGAAATTTATGTTGATAATTTAACGTTTCAATACATTCCCGGTTATAGTCCATTATGGCGATTAATTCGCTCGTAAACTCGTATCACTTAATGCCCGTACCATTAAAACAGCCGGGAGGTTTCATTTCATAATCATTTTCTTCTTTTACAATCTACGTCTATAGCTTTAGGTATATACGTATAAGGGGGAGGGGTGTGGGTTGGACCGAGTGTGGGGTGTACCAACGTATCTTATAATTAAATTTAATATCGTCTTTGACGTCGCCTTAAACGTTCCCATCTCGAATTCTCTTTTCATATTTCTTTGTCCCTTCCTCCACGCATGTTGCATATATTTTATTATTATTTAAAGATGGTATTCCTATTCAATTGATTAACATTTTTCAATGTTTCTTTTTCTTTTTTACCTCGATAATTTTGTCAAATAAATAATACGAGATGTTTGATCATATTATTGAAAATGATTAATTTCAATAAATAAGACTTTTTTGAATATATATTTTGATAATTTTCCAGGAGAAGACGAATGCGGTTAAGGCGCTTGCTCGCGAACAGTGCGAAGCGGCAGCTCAACTGCAGCGTCAACAACAGCAATTACAGCAAAATCATCATCATCATCATCATCAATCGCATCTCCTCCAACAACAGCAACACCAGCAGCATCAGCAGCATCAACATCAGCTACGGCCGAGCCTTTATCACAGTGGATGCCCACCAAAAATCGGTTCTTTGACGGCAACCCATTCAAATACCACTTTGCCTCATCACGGTGGCAACCGTAATAATTCTCAATATCATCAGCAACATCAGCATCATCATCATCATCACCATCATCGACATTTATCGTCACCAATGTCGCCTCCATTGTTATTATCTTCGACAAGTGCACCACTTGCTTCGACGCACAGTCTTTTAAACGTTGCTACGAATCGTAGTAACGTTGTAACACCACCTGCTACGCCAGGTGACAGGTCACCGCCAAGTCCAACCAATAAGTTCAATAGGTCACATATAACGAGGGAAGCCAGTGGTAGCGTCAGTCCTGGCCTACCAGCAGCGACTTTGGATCTTAGCAGTGCAGCTACAACCAACAGCCCTCATGAATTATCTACTCTCGTGTAAATAATCGAGATAGAAGAATAATTTATCTATTCTTAAAGACTTTATATTGAACTTTTATCGAACGTTCGTGCGGACATTTTCTCTCTTTCTCTCTCTATCTTCTTCTCTTTCTCTTTCTCTTTCTCTATGATTTGGGACCACCTAAGAATTATCTCTGACGATATCATATATATCGTCTTTTTTTTATTAAACTTCAAAGAATCGCGACAACAACCTTCGTGAATTTCTTTTTCCCTTTTTAAAAAGACAATGTGTATGTACTTTTAAATAATTGTGTATTTACGTTATTTTTGTGTCTTGATTTAAATTGACGAGACTATTTTTTTATGTGTTTTCAATTTAATTTTCACTTTGTGGACAAACGATAAGAAAAAGGTGTGCGTGTGTGTGTGTGAAAAACGCTAACATATTTTAAGTTTCGAGATTCAGCTGGTACCTGATTTATCTACGTACGACGTCTCATTGAAATTTCAATCTGTTAAATGCAATTAAAATACATCGTTTTGTTAGTTTAATTTCTTTTTTGGTTCCCCTATGGAAAGGGAAGTTTTCATCTTGTATAGTGGTTTACCTTATCAACAAAAAAATATAGGCGTCTTGAATTTGTACGAATTTATATTCTATTTTCTAAAATTATTCTACTAAGATAATATTGACTTTGCGTAAATAGAAATCATTCGATTCGTAGTTTATTGTTGATTAAGAAATTGTTTGTTGTTGATAAACTCTACACAACAATATAAAAGATAAATTTAAATTATTTCATATCGTTTAAAATTAATTACAAGTGCTATTTTTCGTAATAGAAATTATTGACAAATCGAACTCGCATTAGTCCAATTTAAAATGATATCAACATACCACATTTTGTAAAAATCAATGAATAATCAACGAAAAAATACTTTTTATTATAATGTCACATTTCATTTACATAAATAGCAATACTTTGTGTCTCATAATATTATTATTCTAATTGAGATACATTTGAGAGCATCAACAGGTAACACCTGTTGTTGTAACACCTGTTGCATAATATAACTTATAAATTATGCAATCCAATCTGTAATTATCAAAACGTAAGGTAAAATAAGAAGAGAAGTTCTATCTGTAAAAGAAACAACGACAACGACAAGAAAGAATGAAAAGAAAGAAAGTTATTACGATCAATTGTCAACAACTGGGTAAAAAAAAAAATTGTAAAAAGAAAAAGTTTTGCGTTAAAGTAATATTAACCCTTTCATTATGGCATATTTTGGCTCGAATACAACCCCCTATAAGGGTTGCTAATAATAAAAGGGTTCATTCGTGCTCGATGAGATAAAAATATAAGCATTAAAAGAAAAATGTGTGTGCGTGCGCATGTTGTGTGTGTATGTATGTTGTGTTCTATGTACGTATATTAAGAATACGAAAGAATCAAAGCATTACTCGTATAAAAGAAAAATCTCGTGCAGTTTGGAAAGGTGACACATATATGTAGCTATGTACATCTTGCCATGTTCTTTATTTCTTTACTTGTTTAGTAAAACCTCTAGTCCTAGGTCACTTTCGTTAATGAGAAAGCCTTAGACCTTAGAATTCTGACTATCGCTTGTGACTGCGCGATTAAGTATTTTTTTATATTCATTACAAAGAATAACTGATATATGAAAAATCTGATATATATATATAAATAATAATAATAATAAAAATTATTATTATTATTATTAGTAAAACAGAGTTTTTGATATGTAAATTAATAAATTAATATCATTTCCACCATTTTTCAAACTTAACTGAGAAAATCTCGATTGAATATAAATCGAAATCTAACTAGAAAAACGTGTAATGAAATGAAATTCATATAATTATGACTGACTTCGTACTGAAAGTTGCATTTAATAATGTGTATAAATATAATGTTTTAAGTATGAGATACTTTAAGGAAATATTAAACTGAAAGAATATAGAATTGTATTAGCTGTTGATGAAATGATAATGTTACAAATTTTGAAAGTTAAACAGACATATCTCAACTTATCAGTAACGTGTAAATACATAAAAAGAATCTATAATATCTCACATTCTCTAGAGGTAGAAAGTTTGAAATGGGCAGGGTAAGAAAATGAAAATATGTAAATTACACATTAATATAATGCATAATTTTTACCAAGTTTGTAAGTAGTGTAGTAATAATTTGTTTTACTTATAGCGTGCGTTAATGCATGAGTAAATTATTAGTTGGGTCCACACATGTAATACGCATAGTACAAAAGTGTTTTAGCTTTATGTACTACTACAAATGTAAATTCGAAATCGTAAATAGATTTGGTAATGTACCTTTTAAAGAGAAATAAATTATTCAGAGCATGTCGAGTTAAATGATTGGTCAAATATTTTGACTATGATATTCATTAAAAATACGTACGATTTTCTTTTTTTTGTACTTTGCGCGGCAAACTGAAACAACTCGCCTCGCCCATGATTATAGTTTTGACAACATAATACGATAATCCTGATTTTCTAACTTATTTTAATAATATTATTCATTTATTTTATTTTTCAAAGTTATATAAAAATATTATTTAACAAGATTATATTTCTATAACTTATTTAGTAATGGCACTTTAAATATATACAATGAATTTAATAAAAGCCTCAGAAACGATTTTTTTTTCGTTACATAATAGAAAAACTTTTACCAACGTGTATAGAATTACGAAGAGAAAGTTATCTATTACATAAAAAGGATATCATCGTGAGACAATGTACATTTTGTTTTGCTACGTTTTCTAAGTTTTCAGCGTTTAATAGTATATACTATCTAATATATATAGATAAAATTTATTAATTTAACATAAAACACTAAATAAATATTACATGTATATATTATAATATACAAACTTATTGCACTTTTGTTTATTATAAATCTTTTGATATTTGATTTAATTCACAGCGATTGAATTCGCATCAGTTAAAAAACTGTCATAAAATATTTATAGATTTATAAAAAAATTATATAAATTTTTTCTATTTTGTTTTCTCTTTTTGTCTTTTACTATTATGTACATGCTCTTATATATACGTTAAAATGAACTAGTATAACTAGTAAACTTATGCTATAGTGCGAAAGATATATAATTTTACTATTTATAAAGAGCATCCATATTTGGTGTTATTGGCCATTTAGATTGTTTTCCCTTATATGGACAGAAAATGGAACTACATTCAATATCAGGCTCGTGCATCATTGATCGTGGTTGGAACCTTCACTTCAATGCCATCTAATTCTTTTGTCATTACTATCTGACATCCTAATCTGGACCTATAAAGAAATATATATTTAATATTAAAAATATTTAACGTTAATTGATCAAAACAATATATAAAAATAGATTTAAAATTTATTATACAGTTTTTTAAATGCTATTCGAATAAGCCCATGTTATGCTAAAATTTAAATATCAGATACTGCTTGAAATCACTGATTTCAATTCACAAACAGCATGGAAATGATTTAGAAGAAGTCATGAATATATGTAACATATGGAAATAGTCGAGATCTAGACCTCAATAGTAATCTGACCTGTTTCCTAAAGTTGATATGCATGTACTTTACACCAGTGCTTCTCAAAGCATAAACGCAACTTTTAAGACTCATATGGGATTGCAAAACTAAATGATCTTCTGGCAATGACCAAAAATTAATTTAAAATCAGTTTAACAACTACACTTATAATATGCTAGTAATTTTATGGTAACAAAATAGAGGATAGTATAAAAGTTTGAGAAGCCCTGTTTTAAGCAATAAAGAAAGAATTAATTCTATTTAATTATTAATAAGGAATATATCAGTAACGTACGTATTAGTTAAATCATATGCTAGGTCAAGCATATCCAATTCTTCATCGGTAGGTTTATCAGGAAGACTATCGTACACTTCCTTAGGAAATATTAAATGACATGTACTGCAAGTTAATGTTCCTTCGCAAGCACCTATGTATAAATCATTTTTAAATTATTAATATTACTTCTAGCAACATAAAGATAAGAACTATCTCTAGCAGATAAGAAAGAAAAAAATAATTTATTAAATATTACATACCGTAACCATCTAAATCAATTTCATTATTTACCACTATATCCAATATAGTATCTCCTACTTTGCCTTTTGCTTTTATTCTTTCGCCACTAGCTCTAACGAATGTTATACTAACTCTAAGAATAATCATTATTAATTATTTCACAATTAATACAATTATTTCATAAAAAAAAAAAATATATTTTAAAAATCAATATATATTATTTACTTACTCTTGTTTTTCTGAAAGAGGTTCAGACGTAGATGCTTTTCGTAAAAATGAATGAATTATAGGTACTGGAAGATTTTGTCTAGATTTATTAGACATTGAATTTAATGAAAAAATTGACTTTGACAGTTGATGAAATTTACGTACTAACGCCATTTCTTCAATTTATTATTAAAAGTTATATTGAAATCTTCTCAATTAAAATTGAAAATTATTTCTAAATTCGCTATAAAGTCTTTGATTTACTACTATAGATAATTTCAGTCATACTGTCAATTAAAAATATTACGAGCTCGTTTCACAAGGTTATGAAACACGCCACCACCATCGCTCACGAAATACCACAGGTAACTACAATTCGTGACGAATAAACTTTTATTCAATGTTACCAATTTGAAAACTATAAATGTATCTGAGAAACTGATTGTTGGTATTAATTTTATTTGATTTGTTTTTTTTTTATATATACTCAATAATACATTATCAATTAATTCATGCAAAAGAAATTTACTTCTTTCTTTCATTTCAAAATGAAAATATTTTACTTTTTTATTATCCCTTATTCGAAAATAAGTCAGCATTCTTTTTTTCTATTTCGTCTACAATTTCAAAAATTTTCTGTTTATCGAAATTCGAACATACTTCGTAAGCATTATTTATTTTCTCTATAGTAAAGTCGTATTTTTACAATGCTTTGACATTTTTAAAATTAATATTGACTACAGAATATTATACGCTCTATATACAAAATACAAAATTTACTTTAAAATATATTGTTGTTTTACTTTTTAGTTCTTCAAATTACCACTTGTAATTTAAAAAGTAAAGGAAAATATTTAAAAATTTGTTTACTGTAATACATTCTCCGATATTCATAAAATTTTACATACATATTTATAATACAGATTAATCTTTTAATATATTACAAATGTCAGTCTACTTACCATTAATAATTTATACTAGGGACATAACCTATACAAGTTTTTAAACCAGGCACATGGTAGGGAATTCTATTATTCTTGTAGTATATATTTTATCCGTATTTTTTTGCTGAATTGCACGCGTTTCGAATGAAAAGTTATGTACGTATATAACATTATTTTACTATATTTTTCGTAAACTAATTTTCTCTTTGAAAGAATTTTTCTCATTGTATTTTCTCTCTCTCTCTCTCTCTCTCTCTCTCTCTCTCTTTCTCTTTGTCTCTCTTAATTATTTGGTTTTCTTTTTATTCCAATTTTTTTCCAATTTTATCTTTAAACAAAATTTTCAGCATAATGTATGTGTGTATGTGAAAATTACGTATTTCAACACACTTTTATATACTATGTAATTTTACTATGTGCATATGTCAGTACTTTAAATGTGAATATGAGTTTTGATTTTCATTCAATATTGTAAAATAATATTTCAATAAACTCTCTTACAGTAAGTGCTATGAAAATGATAATATTAATAAAAATTTATTTTACGTTAAATCCATTGTTAATTTATCACGATTATTTGATGTCTTGATATTTCAATAAATGAATTTTAAAATTATGTACACGTAGCATATTACTTAGGTGAAAAGAATTAACTTATCAGTAGGTTTTATTTATGCGTAAGAACTGATTAAAATTCTACTGACGAATGTGTATTTTTGTGATACAAGATTTCCTAGTTTTGTGATCAATGTTGTTTCAAGACTGCTACTAAAATAAAGTAAGTCAAATATCAAATCTCCTTGCTGCTTTAATTTAGAATTTGAATAAATTAGTAAAATATATCTAAAGCTTAAAAAGTATTAATAAATGTATTTTAATATATACTTAATATTATAAGAAAAAACTTCAATTTTATATGATATATGACAATGTAGTTTATAAACTTTTAAGGTTTTTTATTTTAGATAATAATGGGAAGCTTAGAATTAATACAAACATTAAGCGGACATTCTGGAAGAGTTTGGAGCGTTTGTTGGCATCCAAAAGGCATTTATCTTGCATCGTGTGGAGAAGATGCGATCATTAGAATATGGAAAGAAACTAATTCTGAATGGATTGCGACTACGTTATTAACCCAGGGTCATACGAGAACTATCAGAGAAATCGCTTGGTCTCCTTGCGGAAATTACATTGCTTCTGCTAGTTTTGATGCTACTACATCAATATGGGATGGAAGATCCGGAGTATTTGAATGCAATGCGACATTGGAAGGACATGAATATGAAGTTAAGAGTGTAAGTTGGTCTGCTAACGGACAATTACTTGCAACGTGTAGTCGCGACAAGACCGTCTGGATATGGGAAGCAAAAGACAATGAATACGAGTGTGCTTCGATCATTAATGCTCATACTCATGATGTTAAAAAGGTATTTTTTTATAGTTGCTTCAGTATTATCTTTTTTATTTACTTTTATATACTATTAGCGAAGATAAAGAAAACTTTATTTATTTAATATATTCATTTTCATTTAATCATAGATAAGATGGCATCCTAACAAAGACATTCTTGCATCGGCCAGTTATGACAACACAGTTAAAATATATGAAGAATACCTACTCGACAGCGACTGGTCGTGTTCTCATACATTAGCGTCTCATCAATCTACAGTTTGGAGTCTTTCCTTTGATAAAACTGGTGAACGTATAGTTACAGTTAGTGAGGATAAAACTGTTAAAATATGGCAAGAATACAAAGCTGGGAACACAATTGGCATTTCTACCACAAATAATGAACCAGTTTGGAAATGCGTTTGCACTTTGTCAGGATATCATACTAGAGCTATTTATGATGTAGATTGGTGCAAGATAACTGGATTAATTGTAACTGCATGCGGAGATAATATGATCAGAATATTTAAAGAAGACAGTGATTCTTCTATGCACGAACCATCTTTTTCAATGGTTTGTTCAATGAATAATGCACATACACAGGATGTAAATTCTGTTCAGTGGAATCCTACCATTGCTGGTCAACTTGCATCTGCTAGCGATGATGGCTTAGTCAAAATATGGCTTTACAATGAGCAAGATGAATAAATGTATTATTACTACTCTTCCTTTTACGGATTTAAGGGGACCTTCTACTCTGAGCACCTAAAAAAAGGCTATTTTCGCGAATTTTTTCCAAGAAAACTATAAAAGATATCGATATAAAAGTTGTTGGGTTTGTTAAATTGAGTCTTAAACTATATAAATGAATTTTTATTTTTTCATTTTAATTAATTTTTTATTGCAAAAACAGTAGTATAAGAAAACACCTTAAAACTTTAGTGCTTTGGTAGCTCCATCAGAAC